TTTGAGCGATTTATCAAAAAAAACGCTCAAAAACCGCTCAAGATTTGAGCGGTTTGAGCGGTTTTTTAGACGATTGCGCTCAAAATCTTGCTTCAAACTGAGCGGTTTGAGCGGTTTTTGAGCGTTTTTTTTATTAGATAAATCGCTCAAACACCGCTCAAACCGCTCATTTTGAAGCAAGATTTTGAGCGCAGTCGCCTAAAAAATCCGCTCAAACCGCTCAAATCTTGCTTCAAATAACGTGAAAAATCTGGACTCGGGGTGAAGGACTGGAGAAATCAAATCATCACGCCCAAACAATTTTTCAAATGCGAACGATGCGTGTATGACTCACAGCCAAGACTCTCGGTAACTTGGATTATACTTCAAGTTCTGCAAGTTTTTGATTAAGGCATGTCGTTAAGCAGGCATCATCAATCTGTCTAATGCTTTGGATGAAAAATGTCTTGCGTTACCCGAGGGCTCTCCTAGATGACATGTACAATCTACAAACCTTTTTGTGAGGCACCACGTAGGCCTCCGTGAGTTGCATTCGGAAAGAAACAAATACCGAGTGCTGATGTGCCAGTCTGCGTTTCCCTGTCGCTGGAAGTTATACAGGAACAGCGACAGAAAACTTTTCCTACGTGCAGGCCGCCTGAAATGGTTGAGCACTGAAAATGACTTGAACAAAAGAACAATGAAATCTGAGGAGCTAGCCGCTTGCAAAAGGCAAAATACAAACTTTTCATCAACCGACGAGGATTGTGACGCTTCCAGCACTGCGGGCGAGACGACCCGAGTCTTGTTGAGTCCAGCGTTTAAACCGTGCGGTCAGTTGGCTGAAGAAGAAATGATATTTCTGAAACTCGACTTGATACGTTTTTTTTTGGCTCCGATATCTCTTTGGATCTGAGCAAAAACAGACTACTAACATGCTCTTATATTAGGAGGAGGCAAGTAAATGATGATACATTTTTGATTCTTAAATATAAATCAGTCAGATAAAAATCAACACAGATCCAGACGAATCAAAAAAACTTATTTCACCATTTGCTGCAATAAAGAACTACCAGAAAACTCATAATCTGTAACTATTTTGTATCGCTTGTTAAACTTCTAGGGTGTTCAACTATCCCCCCTTTTTTCCAATTTTAAAAACTCAAATTTCTTTTTTTTAAGTTTCATACTCAAAATAGGAATAGAATTGGTGTTACTTAAACTTCAATCAGCTCTAACTGTGTCCTTTCTAGTGTTTCTTCTCTCTTCAACTTAACAATTGCTATAAACTTTCAACAGTTTCTTCCGACATGGACGATGATTTCAAAGGCTCAAAACAAGTTTTTTTAAGTTTTGTTACGTATAATTTATGAAGTAACTTCCCATCATGAGGTACAGTTCTCGATTCATGGGGTAATTTTTAACCCACTAGACATTATTTTTATTTTACTTAAAAATGTAAGGCCATGTGAAATAATAAATATTAGTTGTGATTTTTATAAGAATTAAAATCAAAATTAACCAAACCAGGGAAACGATTTAAAAAACAGCAAGGTAATTCAGAATGTGTTCAGAATGCACGAAAAGGTTCGCCAATGAAAACCAAATGAAATGTAACTCTGATCTATGTGCTCTGACACAGAAAATAAGCCGAGAACAGGGAGTTGCCTTCTTTTTGGCGCCCCGGAATGTGATAACTATTTCGAGTCAATCCACTCTACGATAGACCATATCGCAACTGGTGTTTGCTGTGTTCGAATTCAGTATATCCGCGCCAACAAGCCCGAGATCCTGAAAGACTTAATTGCACCACCGAAGGCGAAAATCAGATCTATTTTGGAGAGAGAGATTTGCGAGTTGCTTCAGAAGCCGGTATCAGATGACCGTTACATCAACTGTCGCACCTTTGAAGATGACGAGACTCACCACACCTGTGAGTTTTTTCACTATTTACTCAATTTACTTTTGTTGTCTGGGACTGACACACCTGACTTTTGAGACATCTGGGACTGCGTGAGATCGCGAGTCCAGACAGAATAACTGGCACCCCTCCAATTTCTTCTCAAGTCGCTTTTCCATTGGACCTAGAGGTCGCCAGGCCGGACACAGCAATGCATTTTTCTCCGCGTCTTGACAAGTTGTCTAACTTGATGGGATAAGCACAGTTTCCGAACAAGATCTTTGGCAGCCAAGAGTCCGGCTCCAGTCGCCAAGAAAGAGGGCACTGACAGAGTCTGCTGAGCAAAAGTTCCCTTCAATCAAGAAGCTAGAAAATTTGCATAAAACTCAGGACAAATTATTCTTTTCCTTATTTTCCGAAGTACATGTAGGCAGGGTTGTAAAATATCTTACTTTCATCAAAATCATCGTTTTAGGTTCAGCCTGCTGAGTGTTCCAGAGATGGCATGAATTCCGTGATTGACGCCAATAGTTTCGGCGAGGCAAACGAAACCGAATAGTCTTTGAATAGAAACTATGTGATCATGTTACCAATCCTGATCGATCTGCCTGGGTACACCATCAACGATGAGTATTTATGTCTCGAACATGCGATAGATCGAAGACATTTGAAAGTTACTGTATGGCCCATGACTGTGAATACCTTATGTATTAGCGTCTTTTATGGATTCTCCTACTTCTCCTGTTGTTTTGATTTCTAGAGTAAGAAAACGTTACTGTATCCATTGGTTCCTCTCTATCTTTATCGCTTTTTGATTGTCCATGGGGGGGGGGGGGGTTCTTCGTCCCCAGTCGGTCTTGATCCGAGGGTCTCCACTGTGCTTGATTGTCCGCCGCATCCTGAGATTATCCGTGCGCGAATAAATTGAATAAACACGACTCATCGCTATCATTTTTGCGATAGCATGGGTGACTTAGATAGAGGAAACATTGACGTGCACCCACTTTTCTCGAATCTCGGACCCTACAATAAAGAAAACAGAAAAATGTCGATAATCCTGAGATTTTCAACGTCACTTTATTGGTTAGAAAAGACGCTCTCCAGTGAATTGAAGATTTTAGCTATTTCAATTGAGATCCATGACGAAGTATCAGAGTTCCCTTGATTAGGAGATAGGGCTAAATTTCGAAGAGGAGGAGACCGCCCCTTCAATACCGATATCTGACCGAGTAGAATTTTGTTTGGGCTAATCAGATGAACTTCTGAGAGCATACTGACCGTCTTGGGGGAATTGCTAAAAACATCATGATATCATGATACCCAAGTCCTAACGCGGACATGATATTGCGAGTAACAAAAGAAGACAAAAAGAACTTAAAAATGACTGAAATTAGCATGATCTAAAAACCATGTAAACTCTGATAATATGAGCTTTTAGAAGTAACCAAGATACAATTCTCTAGTTGCCTGGTTGGGGACCAAAAAACTGAAAGTTGAACAATCAGTAGCAGCAAATTATAACGCAGTTGACGAAAACATGCACAAGGTGACCTGCGATGCACAAGGTGACCTCCGATGCGAAGTAACCTAGTACCATTAAACGCTCTGGTGATGCCGGCCAACCCCTCCGGGACGCTGTCACGGATCGTCAGAAGGCGGACCTGTTCTGCCAGATCTATGCAAAATTCTCTAGAGTGGAACACAGCCGCGAGGACCGTCCTACCACCAGACAAGCCCGGACAATCCTCAAGCAGGAATGCCGTTGCAACAAAGAGAACGCCTGCAGCGCCTTCAGCCTCAGGCAGCTGAGATAAGGCCTCAGAAACCTGAAGAACAGGAAGAGCCCGGGACATGACGAGATCAGCAACGTAATGCTGAAACATCTTTCCCCAGCCGCAGAGGGAACCCTCCTCCATCTGATAAACCACTCCTGGGACTGTATTATCATACCAATCTTCAAAAGGAAAGGGAAGGCCAAGGAGAAACCCAGCAGCTACCGACAAGTTGCACTCAACAGCTGCACCGCGAAGCTGGAGGAACGTCTCGTCGTCACCCGCCTCGTCTACCACCTGGAGTCGAAGAAGAAACTGGCCCCTTGCCAAGCTGGCTTTCGTAGAGGCAGAAGCACCGAAGAACAGCTAGCGAGAGTGACCCAAGATATCTTCGACGGACTAGAGGCCAAGGAGTCTCGCCGTGCCGCCCTCGTCTTGCTAGACTTCAGCCGTGCCTACGACAAGACGTGGAAGGCATCCCTCTACGTGAAGCTGAAGGACCTAGAGGTGCCGACGCGCATGATCCGCTGGATCAAAGGATTCCTAGCCGACAGACGAGCTAGGGTGCGCTGGAATGACACCATCAGCAAGGAGCGTGTCTTCAGGGAGGGACTAACACAAGGGTCCGTCCTGGCACCAGCGCTGTGGCTTTGTTATTGCAACGACATCTGGCAGATAGTCTATGACAGAGCCCCGGACTGTGGCCTCAGCCTCTTTGCCGATGACACTGTACTGGTTGCCTCCGACCGAGAGCTTAAGAAATGCGCCACCAAGCTTCAACCGGCCCTGGACGCGGTCACAGAGTGGTGCTCCCGCTGGAAAGTCCAGCTTGCACAGTACGAAGACGCGGCCGAAAGCAAGTGCTGCTACACTGTGTTCACGCTAGATCCAGCGGAGAACAACAATAAGACCAAGCTCTCTCTCACCCAGTGAAGTTCGAGAAAACCCCTACCTTCCTGGGGCTGAAACTGGACTGCCAGCTGACATTTGCCGCACACGCTGAGCTAGACGGTCTGTCGGGACCTCCCAACACAACCTCAGAGCAGCCTATATCGCCTCCACCCGCGCGGTCGCGGACTACTCTTCGGCAGTCTGGATGAACCATGCCCAGCCATCGACCCGTAAGGCCGTAGAAGCTGCTCAAAACAAGTGTGCGAGAGTAATAACAGGCTGCCTCGGACTCACCAACGAGAAAGCCCTCCTCGCCTGCGCCGACCTCCCGCCTCTCCGCCATGTCGCTCAAGAGAGGGCGTCGGTGCTCCGCGAGAGCCTACGCCGCATCCCCGACGACGTCCCAGCGCACAAGACTGCCAAAGCCTGGGTACAACCAAGACTAAAAAGCCGGACCCATGAATCCTGGAAGAGGAAAAACGACCACGAGCCAGATGACGAGTACGACCCTAAAGTCTGCAGCCGTTGCTGTGGCGTCCTCCTATGAAGCAGAGATGGAGGCCATCAAAATAGCCCTGGAGTATGTGAGTACCCTCGGCCAGGAACACGGCACCAGCGTCAGAATCACGATTGATTCCCTCTCCTCGCTCAGCAAACTAGCGACAGGCCCAGAGGGTCACGACACCAACTGCGGCATCACCATATGGAAGGCGGTTGAGAAGATTGGGCGTTGCACTTTTGTCTGGGTCCCCGCACACTGCAGACTCGAAGGGAACGAGTGCGCAGACGTAGCAGCCGGAGAGGCAACTCACCTCGCCCAGGATATACGCCCACTGACACTCAACACGGCCAAAGCCGTCATCAAGAAAAAGCGAAGACCAAAGGACAAGAGTTACCTCCAAAACTGGGCAACTACCATGAAAAACCGCCCGAAGAAGTTCCTCAACAGATGGGAAGAGGTCACGTGGAATCAACTACGAACGGGCCACTCCTCACTATCCAGAGCTGACCTGGCCAGATTTGGGGCCATCGAAGACCCCGGCTGCCTGGACTGTGGAGAGCCAGGCACCGTAAACCATATACTCAGCTGCCAACGAGGCGCCCACATACGACACGAACTGAACGGACGAGATGACGACATGGAAAGCCTATTCAACAACCACGGATACCTGTTCACATGCCTCAGAAGGATGGGAGGTGCCCATATCAGTGCGGAGCACTGACCAGGGCCTCCTGAAGCAAGAAGAACAAGAAGTAATCTAGTACTGAATTGATATACTGGAGAGCTACTCTCCTTGGGTCTACCAGACTAATTGCAACCTGAAACGATCGTATTAGTAAGAGTATTGATGGCGATTATTTTTTTGGTTGCTCACAAAAAACTAAAAACATGTAAAGAAGTCCACAAAGCAGCAGTGGTAAAAATTATTCTAATTGAAGAACTTTCATCGGTTCGAAACAAAGTGCAAAAATTTGAGCCAACAGAATTGAAAAAATATGGCCAGAAGAAGACTGATGCTCTGCTTCAGAGCTAATCTGACTGCTTGGTTGTATGATTAAGCTAGTAAACATATGTCGGATCAAATTATGTTGTAAAGCTCCTTTCAGCTAGAAATGGGCTTGGAAATCTTTGACCGGGTTTTCATAACTAACCGGATTTCAATCAAAATCAGAAAAAGTCAATATAGACAATTGACAGCGACAGAAGAGAAAAAAGATAATAAAGGAAGATCTGGAGAGAAACGTGAATTTGTGCCTGCACAAGGTTTTGGACAAAAAAGAAATTCCAGAGCAGAGCCATTGCTCTTTTTTAAACTGTGCGCTGCGGAGCAAAATAGTTGGACTGACGTACTTGAGGAAACATAAACGACTGAGACTACAAAGTCGATGTTGCAGAGAGAGAGAGAATGTTTTGAATTACTGAAATAGCCGACGACGAAATGCAAGAACGACGAAGAGCTTCAAAATTTCAGAAAAATTCAACGACGAAAAGAACAGAGAAGTCAAAAACAATTGGAAAAAAGTTGGAGTTCTTTTTTGTATGACAGCAAAATCAATAGAGCATCCTAATTACCAAAGCTTAAATTGGAACTTGATCAAACTGGATGAATATGAGTTTGAAACTGATTGCTACGAAATTGAATGTGCAATAAGATTTCATTAGTGCTTTTAGAAACACTTACAATTTTTATGGAGGGAGACATGAAAGGAGAGTATATTTAAAACTTTCCAGACGGTCTGATTGTTTTTCGCCAACTTTCAGAACTGTTTTTTCAATTGCTTTGCAGCTGTAATAAACCGTTAGCTTTTTTGGTGACGGCAAAAACAATCAGAATTTTGTAAAATTCATGGAGTTTCAGCATGATTCAGCTTTTTTTTTCTCCTGGTCATTTTAAAAAATGCTGTTGGCTTTGTTTTAAATAGTCACAAATCTGCTGTTCAAAATCATTTTTAGAGCCCACCTGGGTTCAAACTTTTTTGAAAAACATTGTGACATCGAACAGAATGGCCTGAAAATCATATCAAAAACGAATTTTTATCTGGAGCAGTTCAGTGAGAAAATTGTTTTTTTTTGACGACTAGTGGTGTGAATCGTCAAATTGAACGAACTCAAAGAGGTTAATTTGGAATGAAAAAATAATTTTTAAAGTTTCGTTTAAAAAAGACACGTCACGGTCTTTGAATTCTGCGACAACTGAGAAACCGCAAAATTCGGAACTGGAATCATTGATATTCGAAAAAACACACAGAACGCTGAACCAAGCAGAGAGAAAATTAGAAAAGCGATAGTGAAGATCCTAAAGCAATCCGGAAAGTTATGATTGTAATAACACAATCGTTACTGTGCTGAATTTAGCAAATGGGAAGGCCGAGAGCCGAGATTGCAACACTTCCCGGTGCTAAACAGAAAGCTTATTTGCTGAAGACCATAAATCCGGAAGGGTCCTGATAAAAGACTGGAAACTGATTTTTAAACATATTTTAGCTTCCCGAAATGTCTTGAACTGAATTTATTAAACATTTAATTCTTTTTTCAGAACATGAGAAGCTAGGAGTTGAGGAAAAGGGTTGTTCCGTCTTCGATGGATATGATGTCTTTTGTGTACTGAAATATTATAATATGATAATTAAGAAGTAGCCCTGTTTTTAGGAGTGACCCCGTGGTCTGGGGATACTCAAACCCAATCATGAGCTCAATGTTTTTGCATCTAATTAAGTTTTGCCGGTCTGACGGATAGCCCTTAGATCGTAACAACATTTTCGACCCGATGTTAATGGACCACACAATGAACTGACTTTGGAAGAGACGGTTTAAAGCATGTGAAGCTGTGTTTAGACGCTAGTCAGTATTTTCATAATCTAGTTTTTTTTTCAGTTGGTATGTTTTTCCGGGCGAATGTTAAACATAGATGCTTTTACGGAAAATGTAACCGAAGATGAATGGCATGACCTATATTTTTTATGCTGAGAATTTTTCAAGACATTCAGTCTTGTATCTCTTATGAAGCAAAGATTTGCCTTCCTTCACATTTGACCAGACGGTTTGACGCTTGTTCTGTGGACTGCTGGTAGGATAGTTGAGACGTGGGGCGTGACAATAGCCGACTTCCTAGCCCTTTGTTGAAAAGTGAAGGCTCGGTTTGTAATCCCGAATTGGGGCGGATTGTGGCGAATGAAAGCAAAACTGACACGTTTAGAGATTTAATCATTGATTGATATTTGTGACAACTTTTAGTTTTTGAAAGTTCATGGTGCCACCCTAGCACTGAGATTTTTTATGCTCAATGATAAAAACAACCTTCAAAAATTTTTTATTTGTAGAGCCAATAAAACAAAAAAGCAGCTAAGTATCAATATCTGATAGATTCGTAGCCTCATCAGGTCGATCTTTACGAGTTTCTTTCAACTCCAGTGTTTTCTGTGCAAATGTTAGTTTTCTCATTCTGATTGGTTTTGTTCCCAGCCATCTGACTCTTTACTTTTATTCACGTAATACTTTACTTTTCCCTAGTTTATGACATTCCAATTGTTTTTGACTGGGTGATATGCTGAAGGAATAGTAAAGAAAGTTCGGTAACTAGGATGGACAGGGTCGAGGAAACGAAATTATGCAAAGAGGAGGAGGAGGATTCAGCGAAGAGAGTGAGTTAGTTGTGTTTTTTGTTTTGCTCTGTGTCACGTCAGGTTTAATCCTCGTGGCCTGCATAACAATAAGTACAGTTTTGCTCCCATCTCCATTGTTGATTTGGACTTCGAAACGAAAACTAATTTGGACACTGGTTCGTGACTATGCCTCCATTTAAAATAAATTCCTTAATTACCATCAACGCGTCTTATTGTTGAGAGTTTGTTTGGGAAATGACATAATAAATGTTTTTTTGATATCTCGGGTTCCCGAAAGGGGAGTTTTTTCGGACCGAGCAGTCCACTCATTTCTAAAAAACCTTCTCAAGACAGAAATAAACAAAGCTAGGACTGATGCGAAGAACAACTCAAGCAAACTAGATAAGGCAAGAGGTGAGGAGCAAAGAGGATAAATGAGGAAATATGGCGTTCGGCGTTAAAATACTTAACACTCAGGGGAAGGAAGACAACCACAGAAATTAAAGAAACACATTAAAAGAGGCTGGAAAAGTTAACTGAAAGGCAGGATCAATATTAGGTTGGAAATGTGAGAGATCAGTGACAACTATCGATGACATAGAGTTACCACATATGTTTGTTTCGGCAACTATTGTCATTGGGACCAAAACATCCGGTCAGTGACAAATTTATTGAGACACAATTTCTCGCTGATATCGACATCTTCCTCTCAAATTTTAAACACCGAGAAGTTCCCGGGGAAGCTCTATGTGAGATTGATCCCGCAGCAAAAGCCTACGGTAAACGGGTGAAACAGACACAATCGGACAAGAGCGTCGAAAAGGCGAGAAAGTGTCTCAAGGGCATCGGGCTAGTGGCAATTCTTTACGACAAGGGGATCGCTTTCTGTTTAATGGGGAAAAAACTTGTGAATCAAAAATTGGGGGGCTGCTTGATCCGAAGCCATTCAGTGGAAAGAGAGCAATGACTGACTCAATAGTAGTGACGATTGAATAAGATATCAATAAAGAACTACTGTCCCTGAAAACAAAAGAGATGAACTTAGTGAAAATCTCTACAAAAAATTAAGATCGAGGCGGAAAACACGCCAGACTTTATGGTCTGGCCAAAGTACACAAAAATTACACACCACTGAGACCAGTCCTATCGTTCCCTGGTAGCTCATAAGATAACTTGAACAGGAACCTGGCAAAATTTTTTGAGGGTAATGATGGTTCCAACATTGAAACAAACTCATTGGATATAAGAGTATCAATGAAAGTACCAATTTGGTGTCGGATGAGAACATAATTTCTCTTGATGTTGAAAGTTTAGACACCAATGACCAACTCAAGGAAGCAATTGATACAGCAGTAAGAAAAACATTTGTGCAGGAAAACCACCGGTAATGAGAAGAAAGACCAAGAAAAGATTATTAAATATGGCCGTCAGCCAGGTTCATTTTAACTGCAATGAACCTTGGTTCGCTCAATAAAATAGTTCGGCCGTGGGCGCCTCTCTGGCTGTGATTTTACCAAATCTTTGGCTTAAGGAGTATGAGCATGCACTGAAAATAGAAACTCATGAATTGACTACATTTGCAAATAATTGTACAAAAATCTGCCCCAAATGCAACAAAAAAATTACCTAAACATCAAAAGAGGGTAGAGTGCGAGGGATGCTTGAACTAGTATCATGTTAAATGCGGAGATATATCAGACACTGATTAGAAAAACATAGCTGAAATAGTGTGGTATTGTAAAAATTGCATTTCAAGGTAGGAAAACGAGACAGAACCTCATGTTTGAAACTATTCCTCCGCTACGTGGATGATATAGTGAGGACGGTCAAGGGTGATCCTGAAAAATTACTTCAAGCTGCCAATGGATTTTATCCTCACTCAAAGTTTGCAATTGAAACACCAAATGTCTCGGGATAGCTTGCTTTTTTAAATTTAGAAATAAACATCAATCAGGACAGGAAAGTGAGCTGGGGATGATATGTAAAACCAATTGATACAAGTGCCATCCTTGATTTCAGTAAATTTGGAACCCCCCTTCAGTACAAAAAGAGTGTAATTGAAGGAACTGTTCACCATGTCTTCCTGAGTACGTCTATTTGGGAGGGCTTTGATAAGGCA